TGCATGAATGACCACCTCCATTTTTAATATCCCCCACCAGATTGGTACATTAGTGATATAATAGACAACCCTACATTAACACATCATGAACACCCAAAGTCTGTAGTTTACATTGAAATGTAGTTTACATTTCGTTGTAGGTGTTGGTATAGTGTTTGGCAGGTTTTGTTTGTTTTGTTTTGTTGGGGATTTTTGGATTTTTGTTAAGATAGTCCATAGAAATTGGTTTCACTGTTCTTCTGTCTGGATAGAATTACCAAAGAGGAAATGTTACATTCACAATGTGGTATTGAATAGTTCTGAATTGCCTTTACATTTAAAAAGTTGTAATCACTAAATAATGGTATGTTAATTTCTTCTGTCTGAATTGACAAAATTTTTTAGAACAAAGGCAACCTTTTAATCTATGAAAGGTCACAGATAGAAGATAACATTAGTTTATTTCACAACTATCCTGTGGGTAATTTAGAGCCAGGGAGATGAAAATAACACTAGGTAAATAACTAGATGGCATATGAGTTGTCCTAATGAGTTTCAAGTTGGAAAGGAATATTATTGAATTGCTATATATCCTTAAGAGCAGGATGGCTCTTTTAAAAGAGGAGAGCAGAGAGAGAAAGAGCCACAGAGAACCTAAATAGATTGTGAGTGGAGGATTAATGAAGGTAAAGAATGATTGTCATTGTACTGTTCACTTTGAGTTCAGTTTTAAACTTGTTGCTTTTCCTTGAATTTCTAACACTTTGCTAAGGTCTTTTCATAGTTCCTGGTCTTCTCTATGTCTATAAAAATTTTATGCAGAAACTGTTGCATATCTAGTTACAGCAGATACTGATAAATGAGGAATTTTTCTACATGCTCCTTTGGCAATAACTATAGCATTATTGCTCTTCTGAGAATCAGATTACGTTCAGCCTTGCCTGTCTTTGTATTTGTAATTTCTGGATTCCTTAAATGTTGCATATTGATTTTTAGGTCTTTCAGAGTATACAACTTACACTATACAATATTTGGATGAGGCACTCATTAATATTACTGCTAAGTATATTTGCAGAGCTTTACTAGATTCATCTGATTTCATTTTTAAGTGAGCATGCATATCACAGAGCCCTGTTGAAATGAGTGCTTACTGTCCAGACCCTTCATGCTCAGACCACATGCACAATACCCTTGGAATTTCTCCAGTAATTTTGAATGTGTTTTTTCTTACTTCCTTTGCCATATATTGGGATGTGGAGTTAACCAACACATACCCTTTTGTCTTTGTTAAAAGTATAATTCTGTATCTGACAGCATCATGTGTACCTATTTCAGGAAAAAGTATAATGCTCCTGCTGATGAGACTAGAGAAATTTGGCAGTATAAATTTAACAGATAAGCCTATTTTAGGTGAGTGAATTTTAAGTCTAGAAGCATATTTAGGTGAGTGAACTTTTAGTCCAGAAATAGTCTAAAAATGCCATCAGTTGCTGCTTCTGACAAAGTTGGTTTTTGAGACTGGAACCACCAGGAGTTTGATGCTGGTAAGGATGTTTAAAATGGAGATGCTAAGTTTTGACAGTGACTTCACTACTTTTTCCTAGCAATGGGACTTGGGTGAGTTACTTAACCTCTTAGTGCCTGAATTCTTCCATCTATAGAATGGATATAATAGTAAATTACCCCTCTGGCACCATTTTTATTGTGAGTATCAAATAATGTAATATATGTAAGTACATAACACCTGGCACATAGTAAGTTATCAGTAAATTCTGGTTTCTATTATTATCCCCTATAAAATCTTTGTTCACTTATCCCATTACTTTTCAGTCTAGGGACACTTACCAGAAATGTATAGTTCTTTCATAGCTTAAAAATTTTTGCTTAAAAATATGCCACCTTTGAAGCGTATCTATATTCAAAAGTCGACATTTTCTTAAATTGTTAGAAAGAGCTGTCTGGGATGTGGTGAGGGATTGCTGATGCTATTTGTACAACTGTAAATATGTTCAAAAGTGTTGACGTAATAGTTAAAAATACTTGTGTAGTCACTTTCTAGACTTTTGACTAAATAATTTAGTCATTCATTTTATACCACATATCAGAAGCCTTGTTTTATAATAATTGATGATTTTGGTCCAGTAAATGTAAGAAAAAATTGATAAGTAATACTGATGCATTCAGAATCAGTATCATGGAGTCCTGAAAGTAATTAAGCTGCAGATGTTTCAGGTTATCTAACTTCATCTTAAATATAAGTCTCTTGGGTAAGTAAAGGGAAAGGAAGAGTGATATTAGCATAGTTATCTCCCATAAAAACTGACTTTTTTTTACCTACTGAGGCATGTATAAGGCTTATATATTTCTTTTTGGGTTTGGCTTTTTCTTAAGATTTATAAAAATTTTATGGAAATTAAATTTGATTATCAAGATAAAGTTCTTCTTTATTTTCAGATTTCAACTATTGCAGAAAGTGAAGATTCACAGGAGTCAGTGGATAGTGTAACTGATTCCCAGAAACGAAGGGAAATTCTTTCAAGGAGGCCTTCCTACAGGTATGGAATATAATAGTTAGAATTTAGAATCAAAGATGTGCAGGAAGCCTTAGGTAGTTGCAGGTAGAGATGTCAGAAGACCACTTAGCTCCTCAAGTCCAACCTACTTTATAGATGTCTTCCTTTCATCTTTAGTTACTTCTCTCAAATAAGTTGAAGCTTATCATACAGAATGAGAACACTTCTTACTCTGAACAGTCCTGGGGAAATACTGATATGTTTTCTGTTTGTTTTTGTAGGCTGTGCTGGCTGCTGCCTTTCTGTTAAAAATTTGGAATACATTTGATAAGGTTACAGAATTTTCTAGTTATACATCAGTTCTGAAGCTATGTCATTTATCTACTTAAGAACACATTTGCAAACCATTTTATATGCCATGGTACTTAGCAGATAACTATTAATAGCTATCTCAGGGTTCTGCTTTGCTGACATCCCCTAATTTTAGGGGCACCTTACTCTAGTTTGTGTTTAGCTATAGGTACTGCCGTGCCTCCATACTGGACCCAAACCATTTTTTATATGTACAGATTAGTTCCATCTTAAATATTTCTAAGAAGGGCAATTCCACAAATCTTGATAAGCTTATTTCAGAGTCAAATAAACTGCAGGCTCATAATTATCTTCCTTGTTAGTCTAAATTATTTCTATTTCTATTCCTGTTTTTCAAAGGGGTGGTCAATTTCTTTCTTCCCCTCACTTAACTACTAAATTAACCTTTTCTGTAACCTCACAATTAGATTAAGGATTCCAAATGAATGTCAATAAATTGATTTTGAGGTCTTAAGAAATTGTGTTACCAAATATGTTATATGCATTTATACTCATAATTTCTTTTGTTTTGAATGTAGCTAGTTAGGCCAGGCTCAATGGCTCACACCTGTAATCCTAGCACTCTAAGAGGTCGAGGTGGGTACATTCCTTGAGGTCAGAAGTTCAGGATCAGCATGAGCAAGAGTAAGACCTCATCTGTACTAAAAAATAGAAAAACTAGCCAGGTGATATGCACCTGTTGTCTCAGCTATTTTGGAGGCTGAGGCAGGAGGATCACTTCAGCCCAAGAGTTGGAGATTGCTATGAGCTCTGATACCTCAGCACTCTACCAGGGGTAACAGAGTGAGACTCTGTCTCAAATAAAATATAGCTAGTACTTTGAAGTATGTCTTATGTTAATATATATCACATTTGTTCCTGAACCAAATAAGTTAGTATACGACAGACACATTTGATACCAAGAAGTAAGCCACATGGATTCTTTTTGTATAAATTCTAGGGAAATCTTAACTGTATACCTTAGAAAATATAAGCTTTATATTGGGAAAAAAATCATTTTATTTGCTTTAATTGGTGTGTAGCCTAAGTTTTAGCAGAGGTCATTTAAATAATAACACCTTAATAATGAAAGATGTCATGTGACCATACATATGTAGAAAGGACCACTGTCATGGAAGATAATGGTACTTTCCCTTACAATCAAACTTCTACACTGGGGTACTTTCATTTTAAATATATAAATTCTTAAAACTTAGTCTGTGTGCTTTGATTATATAGCACGTTATTTAACAAAAGTTTTCTGATAATGCTAAAGAAATGGGGCATAAGTGATAATTGAAAATACTAGATGAGTTTTTATTGGAACAACCCACCTTAGTAGTGATTAACTTATATCCAGAAGAAGTTCTTAAGGGCTGTCACTTGGTCTCATTTGGCTTGGTATTTTTACCAACAGCTTATCTGAAAAACATAGAAGCCATGGTTATCAAATTTGTAAAAGACAGACTAGAACCTTAAAAATATCCTGATGGATGGAAAAATAAGTATTTTGAAAGATCACATTAGCCAAGGGAAGTAGACTAAAACAAGTAAGAAGAAATGAAAGTAGTAACTGTAAAGGTTCTGAACTTGAGTATAAAATAAAACCAGTTATTCAGTATAGGATTTTGGATCAAAATTCATTTGTAAAAGATAATTAAGTTGTTTGGTTATTATTGTGATACTGCCCAAAGTGGGGAAAAAGCCAATTCATTGTAAAATTACACTAGTAAAAACTTAGTATCTGGTTTAAGGGAGGGACCACATCTGGAATATACTTTAAAAGAAAGAGAACTATATCCAGGGAGGATGATCACAAAGGTCTGCAATAATGTAAGAAACTGGAAAGAAAAAACAGAATAATCACTTCGTATGTTTGCATTTGTCAATGTTTGCAAAAAGATTTATTTGCAAGTGTAGTACCTTTTAAACTTTTGACCACACATGTACGGTAAGAAACATTTCTTTAAATTATAGTTTTCTATATAATACATATAAGTACGCACGTGTAAATTATATATATAGTAGACTCTCCATAGTTGAGTGTCTCCCTGCATTGACCACCTCCTTACTTTGACCTGATTCTCATACACCAGACATGCACCACATATATGTATCAGGACAGTAGTCCTAGTTCCTTTTATTGACCACCTCTGTCTATTGAGCAGTTTGTTAGTCTCTTGAGTAGTCAGTTTACAGAGGTTCTACTGTATATTTATGTATGTGTATATGTATATACATACATACATAAACATCTTAAATAGAAGTTACACAATGTAGCACTTAACCTTTTTCATGTGTGATGTTCAGCTATATTTTTAGAGGTAAAATATACATATAAAAGGTGCCATCTCTACTGTTTTTAAGTGTACAGTTCATTGGTAATATATTTACATTTCTTTTTTCTTCCCCCTACCGTTCTCACCATCTGGTTCAGCTAGTTCTTATTTGGTGTCTTATGTTGTTCACAGTGCACTTAATTGCTTTCATGGCCCACATGTAGGTTATGACTTTCATTTGGAAAACATTGCTCTGGAATCCAGTACTACTCAAAATAATGTTCCACTGACTATACTGGTAAATCAGCAGTTTAGTGACATGCAAATTATTGGGTTCCCACCCCATGTCTGATGAGTTAGATTCTCTAGGATAGGGACCCAGGAAATCTGGTTTAATACACTTGTTTTGAATGCTAAGTTTGACAAGGACTGTTCTAGAGCATTGTTGTCTGATGTGTGATCTGCTGACCAGCTGCCAGCCTGTGTTTTAAAATATTGTTTTCATTTGCAAAGAGGTAAAGGAGAGAAAAACATCCTTACAATAAGAATAGGAGTTTGCTGCACGAAGAGCAGACAGAAAAGAACTAGTAAATAAAGAGTAAATTAGGATTAACTAGATAAAGTAGCTGATGAGAAAAATAGTAAACTGGAAGAGAACTGAGAAAATAACTGAGACTAGAGAACAGAAACAAGTAGACTGTGAAAGAGAGGTAAAGAGTCATGGAGAACAGAATGAGTGCTCTAAGAGAAGCATTTATAGCATTTCCAGAGGGGGAAATTGGAGAAAAGAAGTATTTAAAGAGAGATAATAGCAGAATATTTTCTATATTATTAGGCATAAAAACAATAACTATAAATCTTGTTAATGAGAAGTGTATGAAGATGCCTTTTATTAGCAATAATATAAAGGGACAGTTTGGATAGACTGTTGAAGCTAAATATTATTATAAATTTAAAATGACAGAAATTACTTGGGTTAGGGTTTGTCCCCTTCTCACTGTGATTATGTTATTCATTAGAAATATGATAAGATTTGTTTGTTTTTTGTGTTCCATTTTAGAATTTTTTCCGGCATCCATGTTGACCTTAATTTTTTGAGTATATGAAACATTAACACTGTTCTAAACACCAGAATTGTTCAAAAAGTATACTCCATACTACACTCACCATCCATTTGTTCTATCTTTTTCACTTCTTTCCCACCAACCTGCAATTGCTAACTGAACTAAGTAAGGTCTAGGCTATCCACCCTGATTTTTTTTTCTTGCATAAATAGTAGATACATTTATGTTTTCTTCATATTTTCTTTGTTTCGTGAAAGATGTCATGCTATTCCCATTATTTGGGTGTACCATTGTTTATTCAACCTTTCTCCTATGTGTGAGTATATAGATTATTTCCAGTATTTTGCAGTTATAAACAGTGCCACTGTGAATAACCTTAGGTGAGTGTTTCATACCATTGGGGAAGTAGGTATACATCCTGGGAGTGGGATTGATGCATAAACATTGTTTTCTTAAATGTCACCAAGTTCCTACTATTAGGGTTGTGCTGATTTTATCCCCAGGAATAGTGTCTATTTTCTCACAGTGTTGCTAACAGAATATATAGTTATGCTTTTTAATTTTTACCAATCTGATAATTGAGAAGTTAGAAGTCAGATTTTTGGTCTTTTTTGGCCCTTAATTGTTTTCTTTTGCTTGATGCTGGGTCTTGCTCTCTTACTGGGGCTACAGTGCAGTGGCATTATCATACCTCACTATAACTCCTGGTTCAAGCAATTACCTGCTTCAGCCCCTCAAGTAGCTGAGACTATAGTCTTGTGCTACTCACTCTCAGCTAATTTTTTCTGTGGTGAAGAGGGGATCTTGCTATGTTGCTCAGGCTAGTCTTGGACTCCTAACCTCAAGCCATCTTCTAGCCTTGGCTTCCCACAGTGCTAAGATTACAGATGTGAGCCACATACCTGATCCAGCCTTTAATTTTTAAGAATTCTTTCATATAATGGGGATATTAGGGAATTCTTTCATATAATGGGGATATTGGCTCTGATATATATAAATATTTTCTCCTAGCTTTTCCATTGTTGATTTTTCTTCAACTTTTGGTGTTCTTTGCTATGCAAACGAATTTTTTTATGTAGTCAGTTTTATTTATCTCTAATTGTATATGGATTTTAGGAAATAGTTAGCTTTTACCTACATTCACATAAAAAAAATTATCTTTTGTTTTATTTTGTTTTGAAAAAGGGTATCACTTTGTTGCTTAGGCTAGAATACAGTGGTGCAATCATAACTCGAGGTTGCAACCTTGAACTCCTGGACTCAAGTAGTCCTTCTGCCTTAATTAACTTCCTCAGTAGCTAGGATTATGTGCACATGCTACCATACCCAGCTGATTTTTCTATTTTTTATAGAGACAGGGTCTCTCTGTGTTGCCTAGGCTGGTCTTAGACTCTTGGCCTCAACCCATCCTCCTGCCTCAGCCTCCCAACATGCTGGGATTAGAGACTTGGACCATGCTTCACCAGTCTTTGATGTTTTCAGTACTTGTTTGGATCATTTGACATACGGATTGATCTCTGATCCATTGGCAGTTTATTCTTTAATTCATGTATTTTAAACTTGTAAGCATTAGGCAGCTTTGTGTCAGTTTTCTGATCTTGAACTATTACTTGTATTTAACTAGTAAATTTTACTTACCATTTTTAATTAACAGAATTATCTATTTTTCTAGGAAAATTTTGAATGACTTGTCTTCTGATGCACCAGGAGTGCCAAGGATTGAAGAAGAGAAGTCTGAAGAGGAGACTTCAGCACCTGCCATCACCACAGTAACGGTGCCAACTCCAATTTACCAAACTAGCAGTGGACAGTATAGTGAGTAGTAGACAATTTCTGTTTTGAAAAGCAAGAAGAAAAACTAAAGATTGCATTTCTGTGAAGGAATCATATAAGTGCCAAGTCTTTTTTCAGCTTAGCTGCCATTATTATATTTCCTTTACTCTTTAATATGCAGAGGTCTGTAATGAAGTATTTTTTTTCTTCAGAGTTTTATTTAGGATTACTCAAGTGTGTGAGCCCTTTTAGATGTCCCTTTGTTTTGTGCAGACGCATGAAGAGTCTAAAATATTTGAACTAATTGATCCTCTAGATTTTAGTCTTCATGTATGGTAAGAAAGAACGAAAATTTTTTAAGATAAGTAAAATAATTATTCTTTGAGTGTATTTAATGCCGAAAATGGTCTTATTATTCATTTTAATTTGTCTTCCTTTCTAAAAGTAGCATTTATAAAGCTTTGTATTTTATAAAGTTTCAAGTGGGGAAAGGACTGACTTGGTTGTAATCCACCAGCATATTCAACCATTATTCCTTTTCATGAATTCAGGACTATTAAAATTAAGACACTTGGCATTTTTGGTTCACAGAAAACAAAGTTTTCCCTTTGCAAAATTATTAAAGTTTTTGTTTTTCTGATGTCTCTGACACTTAGGCTTATCTTAGGACTTTACCTCTTTATATCATAGAATAGAATTCTGTTTATTTGATCAAAGGCATTTGTGTGAAGGTACCTTTTTTCCTTCTTTTTTTCTCTATATCATTGCCTCTCTGCCTCATTCATTCATTGATTTATTCATTAAACTCAGTGCTGCCCATTATATAGTTTTCTTCCCTCTCCCTTAATTACAAATTGAATGTACACACTGAAATTCCTTTGTCGTATTAGTTTTCTAATGCCCTGAAGTAACCTGTGTCTGAGATATGTGTAAAAGTATGACCCCCTCCCTCTGCCTCCAAGACACTGAATTTTTAGCTACAGCTCAGCCTTGGTCTGCACAACTTATTTTACATTCCAACTCTTACTAAAAACAGATTTTTCTCCAGTGGAAAGCAACCCAGGGATGGTGGGGGTACAATGAACAACACTATTTGAGTGACAAGCACACTTACAACAGGACTCAAGCATTACAGAAGCAATCCATGTAACCTAAAACATTTGTACTCCCTTAATATTTTGAAATAAATGTTTAAAAATCAACAGGTTTCAAGTAGCAAACTCTTTAGCTATCCCAAAGCTGAAACTTGTGATAGAAGTACAAAGAAGGAATTTTTTACTAAAATGTTAACTGTCTTATTCACTAAACATCTAAAAGTCTTATTCACTATTTAAGTTCAGTGAGCTCCATCATCTTGTTTCTTAAGTTCTTTCTTTGTTGGCAGATATAAAGAGGTACATAACTATACCTGTATGTGTATTTTTAGGTTAAGGTAGCTTCATATCCTGATTATTATTCTTTTTTTTAATTTTTTTATTTTTTATCCTGATTATTATTCAAGATGTTCTACAACACTGAAACATAATCTTTATTTTTTCCCTACTTCAGCATACCTGAGGTCTACAGCATTATCCTGTCAGGAGCAGAGACGCACTATTACAAGATTCTCACTCAAACTAGAACGCATGCTCTTTAGAAAAGAGACTTATCACAATCTAAATAAGAGAAGTGAAGTTTAGAGAAGTACCACCATCCCCCATGTATTTAATTTGGTACACCCCTCTCTTCCAACAACTGAGAATTGCTGGTTTTAAGAGATTAATACATAAGAATTTTTAAAGCTTTATTCATTCTCTCTATCCCTTATCCTCTCTGTATATGCACTATGTTCTTGGTGATGATTTAACATTATGTTCTTGATTTTTCATTAAGAAGTAATATAACGAATACTCACATATATAGCAATACATACTTATTAATTTGTAAAATGAATAAACGGTTGTCAAAATTCAGATGCTAGAGGGTTACAGTATTAATGAAAGGTAAACATATTTGTCATCTCTCAGTAGTAAGAATGGTATGTATTCATTCCTCCACTCTTTCTCATTCTATTTACATATACACGTTACTATGTTTTTTAAACAAATGAAACCTATGTTATTTATATACCATGGACAATTAAATATGTTTCTTAAAAATTTCTACTTTTTCTACATAAACACCCTTAAATATGTAGTAGCATTTCAGTGGGATAGCATACTAAAAATGGAATTATTGAATTAATGCATATCCTCCACAATTGCCCCTTCCAGTTGGACACATTAATTTATATTCCTTCCATAAATTGGTTATTATTTTTTGTATGTGCTATTACTAGATTTATTCATTCCTTGGCTTAGTGTTCATGATACTAAAGTTTTGTTAGAGATTCTACTTGTAGGTAGAGAAACATGTTATCTTGTCATTTTGAATTTGAATTTTTTATTTTACTAAGTAAAACTATGACTCATGATGTTTTTCTTCTTTATTATGGATACTTAGAATCTTACCTAAGTTTATGGTTATTTGTATACTTTTCTTAGTCTAGATTTTCTGGTAGAATTGTTATAGATGGGCTAGCCAAAAAATATCCAGCCATATGCTATGAAAAGTAATATTAACAATGGCTGGATACTTTGCAGACAGCCCTTGTATATGCCTAGAGGTACATCAGTGTCTTCTATAATTTTATTCTTGTTTTAATGTGTTGTGTTTTATTAAAAACTATCTCAAATAATGACATATATAAATTTTAAAAAGAAAAACCCATGTTCAATAGGGTCAGATTTCAGTTTTCAAAGTATTTTCATATATATGACCTCATTTAATATTTACAACAATTGTATTTATAGCTAGAAACACATGTTTTCACTTTTACAGATGAGACTAAAGAATCAAATAACAGAATAAGTTTAGTGAGAACTGGACTAGAACTCAGGTCTTCTATATTGTTGACTACGTCCTTCCTCCTTACACCTTGAATTCGTTGCTATGCCAAAAAGAAAGTGATGTGTTATATGTGGTAGAATTTGCTTATTAACTGTATGGGAAAATTTGGGGTTTAATTCTGTTAACTTTCTGATTCTTTTAAGTAATCACACAGAATTAATCTTACACTGCTTGTTATATATTCCATATATTTCCTCTTGGTTAAGATACGTAAAACTCTGGGATTAGCTAAAGTGGGTAGACTATGCTAATGTTTTAATTTCCACAAGCATTATTTTGCTAAACTAACCACATCATAGCCATTAATTCCTTTTTTTTTTAGTACATATATATTTTTATAGAGACAGTTTCACCTTCTAGTCTCAAACTCTTGACCTCAGGCAATCCTCCCACCGTAGCCTCCCAAAGTGTTGGGGTTATAGATAGGAGGCACCATGCTCAGCCTCTTGTTTATTTTTTTTTCCCCTGTACAATACATACATTGATTTAAAAGGAGAAAGGAGTAACTTCATAGTGGAGAAATCTGGCAGGTACCATCTTATTTATTTATTTATTCATTATAATTTTTTTTTTTTTTTTTTTAGGTAGGATTATCAAGCTCCCTCCCTTTGTCCCCTCTGCTTGAATTTAATTGTGCTCTCCTCTCATATAGGCCTATTCTCCTCTCATATAGGCCTCTCATATAGGCCTGCTCTCCTCTCATATAGGCCTCTCATATAGGCCTGTTCATCTACTAATTTCAAATTAGTATTGAGTACACCAGGTGCTTGCTTTTCCATTCTTGAGGTCCTTTACTAAGGAGAACATGCTTTTAACTCCATCTAGGTAAATACAAAAGATGTAAAGTCTCCCATCTTTTCTTATTCAGCCTCTTATTTCTTGATTGAGCAGTGGAGAATTAATTTTCCATGTACAGATGACTCACGATACTCTAGTTCAGCAGTTCTCAACCCACAGGAGAACCACCGGAACTGTATTAAAGGGCCACAGCATTAGGCAGGTTGAGAACCACTGCTCTAGTTGCCCAGAACTTACTGACAACTGATCCCATGCTCTTTCCTTTCTAATAGAGAGTAACATGCTTAAGTCAGACATGTTGACTTTCTTACATACTTTACTTTTTTCTTAGTTAAGATCCATTATACTATTTTATGTGTAATATCATGATTTTTGGTCCATATCTTCCTGGAAAGTTTGACCCCAATAAGGAGATTTGTCTAGAGAGGGCTCAGCCATGTATCTCAGTGTTGGTATCCAAAGGTTCTTCCAAATTTTTTAAATTAACTTTTTCCATGTATAGTAACATAAAGATAATTGTAGATTTTTATAAAATAAAAATTTGAGCAAAAGTTAATTTAGTTTATAACAATATATGGCAAATGTGGTTAATTAGGATGTAAACAACAAAGGAAGGGTCCTATATGAGAATACTTGGATATGTACCTTAGAAATGACAGTAAGATATTTTTTATAAATTATGCTCTTAAGCTCTAATTTTAAACTCTATGAGAGACTTTGTGATAACTAGGTTCCATAGTATATTTCAGATCTTTCAAACTGAGTGGACTTATAATACAGTTTATGAATTGCCAGAAGAGTTAAAAGAACAGAATGCAGTGACAAACTGTCATGAATTACACTTTAAAACAACCATTTATTGGGTGCCTAGTACATGACCACTACTGTACATAGTGCATGAATGTAGACAAAAGTATTTCCTACCCTAAAATTTATTTACTAGCAGTACAGCAAATATTAAATAATAGATAGTTAATACTAAAATAATGGATCACAAAGTGGAACCTCTTCATAATCAAACAACTTCAAAGGGATTTAACATTTCCCACATAAACCTGTTTTAAAATTGTTAGTAGGCATAAGTATTACAAATTATAATGTGATTCATAGAGTGCATTTCTATTGTAGAAATTGGATGTGGGTTTGCTGGGCAGCAGGTCACATGAATATATTGGATTCTCCATAGTGATAGTATTTGCTGTAATTTCTCTAAGATCAGGTGCCGCAGTGTTTTCTACATTGGATTTAGTATGTTTTAAATGTCTTATGTGGTATTAATTAAACTTGTAACAATAAAATCCATTGGGTTTTAGTTGCCATTACCCAGGGAGGCGCAATACAACTGGCTAACAATGGTACCGATGGGGTACAGGGCCTGCAAACTTTAACCATGACCAATGCAGCTGCCACTCAGCCGGGTACTACTATTCTACAGTATGCACAGACCACTGATGGACAACAGATCTTAGTGCCCAGCAACCAAGTTGTTGTTCAAGGTAAGGGAATTCAGAACTCACAAGTATGGTAAATTCTTTGAAATATGAAAATTGTATAAATTCAGAAAAAGTAAGTATCATACTGCAAAACGCTGTAAAAATGTAGTTTTTCTTTAATATAGAAAATATTTTCCATAAACTCTTCCATTATTCCAGTTGGACCAAAATGTCATGGCATAAAAACAACTATTTACAGTTTTTAAAACAGAACATCTGTCTTTAACACCTTTAGTATTAGGGATAAGAGAAATACAGTAGTTTAGAAGGAAAGACAAGGAAGTCAGAAATTGGGAAAAATGGGTTCAAGATTACCTCTACTTAGATCTGTTGTGTAACCTTGAGCAAGATCAAGGCCCTCTCTGGGCCTCCTTTTTTTCCCGTGTGTCAAGTGAGAGATACGCTGCATCACTGATGAATTTTCAGAGGTTAAGGATTCTGTTTCTCTGCTTTTGTTCAAAAGAAATTTAGGTCCTCTATTCTGAAACCATCAGTTTTTATCTTGAATGAAAACATAATATTCCAAAAGATATTATGCCAATATGCACATTTGCTGGTCTCTTAGAGAAAAAGTAGTAGATAAATCCTTAGTGAATCATAGAATTTGCTTTTTTTTTTAATTTTAGCAATCTTTATGAATAGAAATTGACCAGTTTTCTCTAACTTTATTTAAATATTTCAAGAATATAAATTGCACCAGATTAGAAATTTGCAGATTGAAGAAATAAATTTGTTTTTTAAAATTTTCATAAATAATGCATTGTACCTAATGACATTTATATCCCTTCACTGTCCTGGATAATATGTAGTAACTTTTGAATGATCCTAAAATACCAACTGGGGAGAGTTATAACTTTTGTTTTTCTTCCTAAAAAGCCAAAGTTGTTTCTAGTGTCATAACTACTTAAAGAACCCTAATACTTACAGAATATATTCTGTTACTAAACAGATCATTTGAAAAAGGTAATAGTTTCCATATTGATGGGAGTAAAACACCTTTTCACTTTACATACAGGTACTCAAATATTGTAAAGCATGATGTCAGTGAATTTGAATTCTGAACATGAGTTTGAAGATGGTAACACATTTAGTATTTAAATTTTTCCATTCACACTACACATATTTTAATTAATATTAACAATTAATATGAATGATTTTATATACTTTCAAATTCTCTTTGAGTAATGATAGGTTCCTTGTTATTAAGCTGTTTTTAGAAGCAGTTTGAAAAATAGTGATGATGTTTATTTTCAGAAATAGTGGATCAGTTAGAAAAATAAAAGTTCAGTTTATTTAGCCATTATAATTTACATTAAACCAGTGTTTACAGATTATATAGTTGGCATCAAGTGGTACACTTTTACATTCAATTTTGTTTCAATTAGAAATCTACAATAGTTGACCATAATGCTTTATTTTCTCTTCCATTTTGCTATTTTATGAAAAATCATGGTCGTTTTTATGTCGTGGCAAGAGTCTACTTGAAATTTTTTAATATGAATTTACCAATATCAAAGGAAGACATTGAGGACTATACTCTATCTAGGAAGATCATCCAAGCTGTGCCCTACTTACCTTTTAGACTTAAGGTTGGTAAGCATGTTAACAACAGAATAGAACTGCATTCCAATGAAAAATAATTATAAGACTGAGGTTAAAACTTTTCACCCAGTGTCTCTGCTAATAAATACATTAAATTGGGAATTATTTCTTAGTAATGACCAAAAAAGTGATTCAGTGTTAGCCAGAATCATGTGTTTCTTTTTGCTTCCCTTTCAATCCAAAATGTTTTGCTTAGATAGATGATTGACTCATAGTTGAATCAAGTTTTAGTGTTCCTCTCTTACACCATGTTTACCATTCGTTTCAGCTGCCTCTGGAGATGTACAAACATACCAGATTCGCACAGCACCCACTAGCACTATTGCCCCCGGAGTTGTTATGGCATCCTCCCCAGCACTTCCCCCACAGCCTGCAGAAGAAGCAGCCCGAAAGAGAGAGGTTCGTCTAATGAAGAACAGGTACATAAATTGCATTTACTTAGATGAGTTAGGTACGTTCTCGAATTCTGGCAGATGTCTTTACATGGACTGATAATAGGATCGTTGGTTTTTCTTTTTTCTGGAATTAATCCATCTTGGTAAAATTTCTTCATTATTAAGCTGTACTTACAAGATGACTAATGAAATCATGTGTCAATTTTTGACCATAGAATAGTTTTCTTTCATGCAGTTTCCCCCCAGGAGATTAATATACAACTTTTCTGTTTGCACTTTGCTCCAAACAACTATCCTAGTTATTTTAAAAGTGTTTCTTTTCATGAGTAGTAATATTCAAAAAAAATCAAAAGAGTTTTGTACATGTATATTAACATTAGATGTTAATCTTATTGATACTAAGTTTACCTAATGTAAAGTGTATGTATGATGGCCAGTCTGTGTTGTAATGAATGTTATCTTTACTCAAATGATAATAATTTAATACCTAAGGAGTCTTCAAAAATATGTTATTTCTAGGAATGCCATGTTACTGATAAAAATATTAAAATATAATCTTCAACAATGAAAATGCTACAAATCAAAATTCATAAAATGTGAGTAAAGCAATTCTCAGAAAATAAGTTCATTGTTGTAAGTAGGTTTTGCCATTAAAAAACAGTTTAAAAGTAAGTTACTAAATATTTAACTTAGAATTTTAATATGGAATGATGACAAACAAAAGAACTTGAAAATAATGGTATATGACGATGTAGAAAATTTGAAATTGGTGAAAATATCCTGCCATTCACCCAGATACCTCACACATTATGATATAAAGTAAAAGAAACGGAAATTGAATGTGGAAGATCTGGCTTCAAGTCTTGGCTCTATCCTTCATCCATGACTTTGAGAGAACATAATTATCTTCTAATCCCCAGTTATCTCCTTTGTAAATAGGGATCCCAGCACCTACCTAAAGTGTTCTAAGGGTAAAGTAAGATAATTTCTCTGAAAGCACTTTGTATCTGTGGTACTCTATTGAAATGTTTTTTGCGTATGTAATTTCCTATTTTAGTTCAGATCAACCTCATTGCTCCTAAAATACTCTTAGTTTGTCACAGTGTTAATAAATTACATCTAAGCTATGAGAAATGGCAGAAGCCATGTGCAGTGATGCACTGAAGCAAGAGGATCCCTTGAGCCCAAGAGTTTAGTAAGGCCAGCCTGAGCAAAATCATGAGACCCTGTCTCCCAGAAAAGGAAAAAAAAGAGCTTTTTCTGGGATAACAAGAAACAAGTTAAGTAACTGAACTTTATTTGTGCTCCATCAATTTGTGATTTTTCTTTTGAGTATTTAAGTTACATTACTACACAGAAGTATTAAAAACTGCATTCATATTTAAATGTACTTTAAAGTATAAACCTTTTCAGTTTTATGAGTATAAAATATAAAAAACATTTCATAGCTATTAAAATTAGAAGCAAGTCTGATTAACAATTCTGAAGAATTTAATGCTAAGTTGTAAAATTGAAGAGAATAGTGCTAAAGTGAATAGTTCTAAGAGACATAGGACAGTGATTGGAAAATAAATTATTCTAATTATAAAACAACAGAAAGACTTCAGATTATGTCTAGATAGCTTGTCTTTGTGGAACAAAAGCATTTCCTTCCCCCTATGCAGTGTAATGGTAGTGGGTGAGGAGGCAACACTGTAGCTTCTTGTCTGTTCCACTGTGTAGAGGCAGCACAGGACACTGCTCTTTGGGACAACTGTTGAAGTTGACTAGCAGACCAAATTTCCTTTTTTCTTTATTCATTTTTCCTCCAGATTTATGACCTTTCCACCACCCCCACCACCAAGTTAGGGACAGGCATACATAACCACAGTTCCAAACAACCTTTTGTTTGCATTGAAGTATTTAGAGAACCTACCTGATTTACCATGAATTCTTTTTAAATAATTTTGCATTTCACCTCAGGGAGTGGATTTTTTAAAAATGGAGTTTTAAAATAAAATGGACTTTTAAAATAAAAAGTGGAGGTGTTTTTTTTTTTTTTAATTAAAAAGAACTTAATGCTTGTTACACCATCCTTAAATGGGAACTTTTTGATTCTATTATAGTCTGTTTTAGCTTCCATTCACCAGAGTCAGGTTTCTGTGACTATCATGCTACTCTTTGTTTATAAAAAGATGCAAATTCCTTCCCACTTTGCAAGTCTAGTATTTGCTTTTCATTTAATTTTACGTTTGTGGAGTATTCAACACTTTTGATTGCTCATACCCTAAACTCTTCTTGACTTACCTGGTTTTCTGACTACTTTTCAGATTTTTCCTTGGAACCTTCATCCATTCCGACATATTTCAGGCATCACTTTGTCGCCCTTGGTAGAGTGCTGTGCTGTCACAGCACACAGCAACTGCCAGCTCTTGGGCTTAGGCAATTCTTTTGCCTCAGCCTCCCAATTAGCTGGGACTACAGGCGCCTGCCACAATGCCCGGCTATTTTTTTGTTGCAGTTTGGCTGGGGCCAGGCTTGAACCTGCCACCCTTGGTATATGGAGACGGTACCCTACCCACTGAGCCATAAGTTAATTACAATTTTAACTTATTTTGAAATAATCTTAGATTTACAAAAGAATTATAAAATTATAAAAACAGTACTATAGAGTTCCAGGTACCTTTCATCTAGTTTCATCTAATTTTAATATATTACATAAGCAAAATACATTTAGCAAAACTAAGAAATACATTGATCTAATACCATTAACTAAATGATATGTTTTTTATTCAGATTTTCCCAGTTTTCCTACTTATGTAGTCCTATTCAGGTACCATATTGCTTTTAGTTGTCATATCTCCTTTGTCTCCACCAATCTGTGAAAGTTTCTCTTTCCTTGTCTTTCATAGCTTTGTTACTTTTGAAGAGTCGTGATATGGTTTCTTTTTTTTTTTGCAGTTTTTGGCCAGGGCCAGGGCTGGGTTTGAACCCACCACCTCCAGTATATAGGGCTAGCACCCTACTCCTTTGAGCCACAGGCGCCGCCCGTGATCTGGTTTCTTATAGAATATCCCTTAATTCAAGTTTGTACAATGTTTTCTTGTGATTAAATTAATGTGATGAGTTTGGGGGGAGAATACCACAGAAGTACAGTGTGCCCATCTCATAACATCATACTAGAGAGCACATATCAGCATAACTTGTTACTGGCGATGTAAACTTCAATCACTTGGTTAAGTGTTATGTAGTGTCTCCATTGTAGAGCTACCAGTTTTCTCTTTGTATACTGTGTTACTTAGAAATGAGCCACTAAGTCCTGCTCAAATTCAAGGGAAGGAAAATAAAATTCCACCTAGTCCTATAAAGGAGACTGTCAAAGAATTTGTGATCATATGTGTTAAAACCACTATAGTAGTAAGTGTACTTTGGAGGAAATACTTGGAGGATATGCAAGTATCTTTTTCTCCTTAAAGTTTTACCTACTAATTTTAGGATTGACCAGTGACTCTTGTCCACAGTAATTATTACCATGATATTTTGATGGAAATTTTCAGTTTTCCCCATCCCTTCTTCTTTTTTTTGCAGTTTTTGTCCGGGGCTGAGTTTGAACCCACCACCTCCAGCATATGGGGCCGGCCCCCTACTCTTTTGAGCTACCCTTCCTTCTACTTTTTTAACTAGAATTTTTCTGTATTAAAAACTTGTCCTTTTATGGATTATGTGTATATATATCAATGTGGGCTGAATGGAAATTTTATTTGGGGGTTATAATCCAATACCATTGTTTATTATGTTGTTCAGATGCAGCTTTGTCCATTGGGAGCTCAGGTTCCTTCTGTGTTCTTTGATATGCCCCTCCCCACCCTGACACCTCTTCTAAGCACATACATTCTTAGATGTACATTCATATAATCTGCCACTACAAGATTATTCCAGGCTCAAATTCTCTTGTGTTTTCCTTTCCTTAGCCTTGAAATCAACCATTTCTCCAATAAGCCCTAGTTCCTTTATTACAAAATGATATTTAGAAGTTAAGAATTAGGCACTAAGTTAGGTATGTTCCTTGCACAGGAGTTTCGTATTTGTAGGCCCTCACAGAGACAGAGCTGGGAAATGTGTCTTCATGTATGCATACATCTTATTTCTGTACCTGCATATGTATTTATATATTGACCGTTTTCATAGATTCCACATCTGTATATTTGATCAACTGTAGATTGAAAATATAAGTAATAATTTAACAAAGAAAAATATATTATACCAGCTATTTACATTGTAGTCAGTGTCACAAGTAATCTAAAGATGTATTTAAGCATACAGGAAGATGCATAGGTTAGGTTGTATTTACCATTTCGTATAAGGGTCTTGAACATTTGTAGATTTTGGTATTCAAGGTGGTTTCTGCAACCAATCCCCTACAGAAACTGAGGGAAAAGTACACACAACTGTGTTAATGTGAATACACACTAATATATCTGACTCTAATCTATTATAACCAGAGGGTTCATTTTAGACTTTCCCCATATGCTCATTTGTAATTTCTTTCTCTGACAGAAATGACAGTATGGCTTACATACTGGCTTAAACCTATTATCCACACAAAATACTTCAGAACTGGTAATGTGTAAAACAAATTTATCAATAGCAATGTAGTGTTTTTATGTTTTCTTTTTGTTTTTAGCCTTTCAGTATTCAGTGAGAATGCTGTTTTCTAAAGTTACTTAGCTCTGCTCCCTTCAGTGAAGTTATGTCATGATTTTAGAACAGTTAGATTTCATTACCATCTTCATTCAATTCTAGGATTCCCTGACATCCTATTTTTTAATCTTTAAATTTGCATACAGTTAAGTTCACTTTTTGTGCTAGATGGTTTTTATGGGTTTTGACAGATCCATAGTATTATATATTTATTATATATAATTATATAATATATAGTGCCATAAAGAACAGTTATATCATATAAAAATATTCCCTGTGATACCACTTTGCAGTCAGCATCTCCCCAGGCCCTGGAAACCACTGAACCTGTAAAGTTTTGCCTT